TCGTTTTATTCCTTGGTTTCTCTTGGTGAACGATTGCGGAAAAGATTTTCGATCTCGTTTGTCATAGTTCGATAAGAACCATATAGAGAATACTAAAGAGGGGTAAAAGGCAAGAGAGTGTGAGATCATTAGAGGGTAAAAGCCAATTATTGAGTGAAACACTTCTTTGAGTGAAATACTTGAGTGTGGTGAGAATATTTTTCTTCTTCTTTCTTCCTCCTTACTTTCTTTTGCAGAAAACATGGCGGAATAACAAAATCGTAATCTAGACAATCAGCAACATGGAGAAGCGAATCCACTCCAAATGCAAGCATTGATGGGTGAGCTACGGAGGATCATGCGAGCTGAATTGGAGGGCATCAATCAAAGGATGGATCGAATGGAAAATAGGGCACATGCTGCACAAAACCAGCCACGACAAAATGCTGGACGAAGAGTTCAAAATGTTCCTAGTGATGGAGAAGGAGCATTATCGGATGAAGAAGAATTAGTTGAGCAGCCCCAAAGGCCTAGACGTGCACAACGGGCAAGGAATCATGTTGATGATGACTTGGGGAGTATCAAGATGAAGATTCCGTCGTTTCAAGGGAGAAACGATCCTGAAGTGTACCTCGAATGGGAGAGGAAAACGGAGATGGTGTTTGAGTGTCACCGTTACTCAGAGTTGAAAAAGGTGAAAATGGCAGCCGCGGAATTCAGTGATTACGCTCTTGTTTGGTGGGACCAACTCGTAATCACAAGGAGGAGGAATGGTGAATATCCTATTATTACATGGGATGAAATGAAGGCTGTCATGAAAAGAAGGTTCGTTCCTAATCATTTCCATCATGATATACACCAAAGGTTACGGAAATTGGTGCAGGGAAATCAAAGTGTGGAGGAGTACTTCAAGGAGATGGAGATACTCATGATTAGGGCCGATATCGAGGAAGATAGGGAAGCTACTTTGCAAAGATTCCTTGGTGGTTTGAATCAAGACATTCAAGATAGAGTGGAATTGTAACATTATGTCGAAGTTGAAGAACTGTTGCATTTGGCTATCAAATGTGAGCGGCAGCTCAAGAGGAGGGCAAATTCACGTCCAACTTATAGCAAAGGATCATCTAGCATGAGATCGAGCTTTGTTAAGGAGGAAAAGTATGCCCCTGGATCAAAACAAGAAACAAAGCCAACCACATCAAACCAAGGGAATCGAGGTAAACCTGAATCTTCTACAGCACGCAATCGAGATGTTAAATGCTATAAATGCTTGGGCAGGGGCCATTTTGCTAACAAATGTCCCAATAGAAGAGTTATGGTGTTGCGTGATGATGGTGAGATAGAAACGGAGGCAGAAAGTGATACAGAATCTATGCCATCATTAAAGGATGATTTTGAAGAGCAACTTCCTGCCAAAGGAGAAGCATTGGTTATACGGAGAATCCTGAATCTGAAAGCCAAAGAAGAAGAGGTAGTACAGCGGGAGAACATTTTCTATACTCGATGCCTTATTCAAAACAAGGTATGTAGTGTGATTGTTGATGGGGGGAGCTGTACAAATGTTGCTAGTGCTACAATGGTGGAGAAGCTGAATCTACAACCGACAAAGCATCCTAAGCCCTATAGGTTGCAATGGTTGAATGATAGTGGAGAGGTGAAAGTTTCCAAGCAAGTAAGGGTTCCTTTTTGCATTGGAAAGTATGAAGATGAAATTCTCTGTGATGTAGTACCAATGCAGGCCAGCCATTTGTTGTTGGGGAGACCGTGGCAGTTCGATAGACGTGTGCAACATGATGGTTACAGCAACAAATACTCGTTCGAGTTTAAAGGTAGCAAAATCCGACTTGTTCCTTTAACTCCGAAGGAAATCTACGACGATCATATCAAGCAGGGGAAAACACAAATGCGTGGCAGCGATGTCTTGAGTGACCATGAGGTAGATCACCAAAATGGAGAGTTCTTGAGAAAAACCCAGAAACAGACCTTTGAGAGCAAACCCGAGAGGAAACAAAAGAATTTCTTCCTGAGAGCTTGTGAGATAAAAAAAGCTTTGTTTTCAAGTCAACCAATCATTGTACTTTTGTACAAAGAGACTCTTTCTAACTTGAATGATTTTTCATCATCTTTGCCAAGTGTTCTTCAAGATGTTTTGCAGGAGTACAAAGACGTCTTTTCCAAAGACATTCCCCGAGGATTACCGCCGATCCGTGGCGTTCACCCGGCTTATCAAACGGACAGTCATAACCGTTTGTGGCGCCTTCGCATACCAAGGTTGCTAATCACGGCGTTAGGTCTAGGTCGCGGCAGTCTTTAGACTTGTGCCAAGGTTGATTTCTACCGGTTGGTTAGAGGTCGCGGTCTCCACCCGCCTAGTTAGAGCAAAGGTCCTCGGTTCCGCATCACCTCTTGGAGTCTTGCATCTTGAACCGATTCAAGACCTTGTCAATGTATGTACTCTGACTTAGACCAAGAAGCCTTCTCGATCTATCTCTATAGATCTTGATTCCTAGAATATAGGCGGCTTCTCCTAAGTCCTTCATCGAAAAGACCGATCCTAGCCAGGATTTTACTCCTTGCAAGGTAGGAACGTCATTTCCGATGAGCAATATATCATCTACATAAAGCACAAGGAAGACCACTGCGCTCCCACT